CCACCAGAAGCTATCTGATGATGGCCTTAGTCAGCTCCTAGGGGACAATCATAGTAGGAAGCCCCACAGAATCCTGAATTTATGTCTCTCCAGTCACAGACATCAGCCTAAAAGCTAGTTGTTGGCCTATTTCTGCTGAATTTAGAGCTACTATAATTTATATTTTGCCAACAACCTGTAATTCACATGGCTGGGTCCAAGGAGAGCTTTGAAGTTTAAAGACAAATAACAACAACCTTGAATACTCATGGATTGTTTTTTCTCTGAAGTCTAACCTATCACCTACCTGCCAAACTAAGAAAAGGGAAAAGATAAATGAAGTGAAATGGAGAATATTGGAGAGCTTCCCTGGAATGCCCAACAACCAGTCAGAAATGACAGCCCCAAGTCACACACACACAGATGAAACACAAGCTGCTGCCTGCTGTTAAGTGAAATGTATAGAAACATTCAAAATTTATTCAGGATTTCCTAGTTTCATTCATCAAGAATCCATTGCCAGATATTGTGTTAGACATAGGGAATCTACGTGTGATTAATTACTCAAGGAATATCCATAAGCTCCAAGAAATGTCTCTCCTGTTTACTGTTATGTCCCCCAGCCTAGCATGCCATGTAGCAGAGTGTGTATCTGATGAAAGAGACATCAGGCATTAAGGCAGAGAGGGAGGAGATCAGAGAGGGCAAGAGAAAAGAGAGCAAGCGCTTTAGGATAGGAAAGAGCTAAGTTCTCCAGCATCTTGGAAACTATCTTAGCTCAAGTAGGAGCTCAATGAATCAGTTATTTGTACAAGTACATGTAACAGAATTTATGGCTTGTGTTTAAGCTGTATAAAAATATCTTAACACAAAATTTTATGATTCTATTGATATTAGCTTAGAAGGAAATGAACAGTGTCAGTTATTCACCTTCATTACATGTCTTTGTGCACAAATGTGCTTTGGTAAAATTATTTCAGGTTTAATCTAATGGCAAGAAAGCTGCTGGCCCTTGGTGTAAGAGTCAAGACAAGAAGCGGGGATTAAAGATGTGCCTTCAGGGGGTTAGCTGAATTCCCAGAACATTATTCGTCCATTCCACAAATGGTTATTGAGCCCTTACCATGTTGAACGACCAAGTTAGAGGATCAGATCCTGAACTCAAAGAACCTATGGACACAAGGAACCAAGACAGAGGCAGTAACAAGAGGCTCTGGAGAAGGCTGTAAGCGGAAGGCACCCAAGTGCTCAAACGGTGCAACCCCGCAGCCCAAATTGATCAGTGATGGGAAAAGGATTTCCCGAGGAGGTGACAGTTCAGTTGGATTCTTTAAAGAATATAATTAAATGAATTAAGTTAACGTAAACCAAGCAGAAGCACACACGTACACAAAGCAGGAGTGAATATTCCAGAAAATAGCCCGGGCCACAAGACAAGAGTGGGAGGAGCCAGAATAGTGAGCAACTGCAGAGGGGAGAACAGAGAACAGAGGCCATGGTGGATGCATTTAGCTGGGAGTAGGGGAAGGCATGGCATGCTGGGGACAATGTGGGAACTCATGCTAAGGACACTAAATCTTACCCTGAAGGTAGCAGGAAATGTCACTCATATGTGGAGTTAAAACAAAAACACAGCAAGTAGCAAATATGAAGTAGGTCTTGCCAAACACGCTTCCCTCTAAAGCATGTATGAGGACTATTTAAGTAATCCAGAGTTTACCCTCTAATGAAGGCTCTGTGAGCACGTGAAGTAAGCAATGTGGAGACTACAAAAGGTGAATATTATCTAACCTTCAGGAAGGGAAAGGAGAGTACTAACTAGTCACTAGTACAGATGAAAAGCACTAGAAAGCCAAGTTGAGGAGACATGACCTGCAGCTGGAGATCAGGAAGTGCTTCATGAAGAACACCTGGCCTAAATGCTTGGGAGACCTTGGAAGAATTTCCTGACTTTGGCCCTGACTGGCCCTGGCCCAGCCCCAGCCATTGCAGTCATTTGAGGAGTAAACCAGCAGAGACAGAGAGGGAGAGAGAGAGTTTTTGTGTGTGTCCCTCTCTCTCCAACTCTGCCTTTCAAGCAATTAAGATAAATCATTTTTTAAAACCACCATTGCAGGAAAAGATTTTACTGTTTTGAGCAAATGATATATGACAAGATGTTTCCCCACTGTAGCTAACATTCTCTTGATGATATATCTAACATTAGCGGTGACCATCCACATCCATATGAAAGGCCAATCAACAGCGTAGTAGCACCTGCCAGTCTCTTAGCCCTGCCCAGCTGTGTGTCAGTCTGGCCACAAACTCTGCTCCTTCTGCCCTCCATGTTTTGCACTTGAGTGAAGGAGCAGTAAACCACAGACCTGCACAGATGGAGGCATTTTGAAGGACAACTCGCCAAGTCTGCAAAAGCTATAATGCACATAGCTTGAAATTACTTCAGTCAAGGTTTTCCCCTTCCTGATAGTATTTTAAAAATCGAGAACCCATGACAATTATATGCTGATAGAAATACGATGTTAGAAAAGACCCTATCAGTTCACAGTGCTCAGCACTTGCTGTCCACAGTAAAGACATTACCACCACTCAAGACAAAGTGTGACCCACCTCTAAGAAGATGAACAGCGGCTGGCACTGTGGCATAGTGGGTTAAGCCTCCATCTGCAGGGCCAGCATCCCAATATGGGTGCCAGTTCTAGTCCCAGCAGCACTTCTTCCTATCCAGCTCTCTGCTATGGCCTGGTAAAGCAGAAGATGGCCCAAGTGCTTGGGCCCTTGCACCTGCACGGGAGACCCGGAAGAAGCGCCTTGCTCCTGGCACAGCTCCAACCATTGTGGCCATTTCAGGAGTGAACCAGTGCATAGAAGACCTTTCTCAGTGTCTCTCCTTGTCTATAACTCTACCTCTCAAATAAATCAAAATCTTAACAAAAAGAAAAAACGAAGAAAGAAAGAAGGAAAATGAGTGGAATTAAGAGTAGGGGAAAGGCCTACATTTCAACAGACACCCTGTGCAGGCCAGAAATCTCAGGTGAATCCGATCTGTATTCCCCTACCCAAAAGTCCTTAATTTTAGCTCTTTGTCTTTCTCTCTTTGGCAACTTAACTCTCGTTCCTCTTTAATCTATTCTTCCACTTCATGAAGTCCAAAGAGTTATTCAGCTGGGTCTTCTCTCTGCCGGTGAAAGGGGAGGAGGACTTCCCACTCCTGGTAGTTGTGGTGGTAGAGGAAATAGTGATCAGGAGAGGAGACACAACTTAAACAGAATGGGTGCTCTGCAGCCAGCATGGCAGGTGTTGAAAGAAGGGTCTTGTGGCCCTGGGCAGATAGAGGAAGTGAAAGAAGGGGCCTGGTGATGGAACGCATCACCTTTTACCTGACTCCAAATCACCTCCCACTCTTCCTTGTTGTAAAGGAAAACCATGTAAGCACTTACAGTAAATTAAGTTGAACATATTCCTTCAAAAGGGAAGTGTCCTGATTCCCACCACATGCTGACAAGAGCGGACTGCTCCCTCACTGCTCTGTAATTACTGATTAGCAGATTAGTAGCCTCCTGCATATGTGGAGGAGGCAGGAATTTTGAGCATTGTTTTTTCACACTTTAAAGGGGTTTCTTGCAGTCCTGTTGGCCTGGAGCCTCACCTTCCAGTTAGAGGGACACTGCTCCAGTCCCGCAGAGAGACCACTGTCAATGTCAGGACCAGGAGAGTCTTTATACAATGTTGAGACAGCAAAATTCAATCGCTCCAGCACTATCAAATCACAATCTCTGCAGATGGTGTGGGGTGTACCCCAATGCCAGTTTCTGTGCTAGCAGCTTGCCAATGAGGGATATACTCTTTTTCACCCCCTCAGTTTCTCAGGATCCTTCCATGAGGCTACTTTAAAGAGTTAAATGGAATGGAATAGGAAGGTAAATTTATTTTGGTGCAAAAATATTTGAAATCATTGCCTAGGAGAGGCCTTCAAGAAGTTCATGCAAAATTCACATTATGAAAAAAAATTAATAGACTCCAAGATTCTTGTGCCTAAAATAAACTTTTAATTCCTTTTTTCCATGGACTTTTTAAAGTACCCCCATAAATTTAATCTGACATTTTGACCTTAGAGTAACTAAAAGCATCTAAACTATTGTTTATAAGGGGAATGAAAATTTCATAAGAAAATAAGAAAAACCTCTTTTAGAAAATATGCCTGAAACACAGGCAAATGAAAGATTTTAAAATATCCATATGAGGCAAACCAAAGTTAGGGATTTTCTGCACTAATCCACCTTTTCCCTGCAGATTCTGTGGGAAAACCAATACAGCACTAACAGCTTTGGTATTTATCCAGACTGATGTTGTGGGGGTTCTCTTAGGACCAGAGAAAAGTTTTACATTAACTATCCACAGAAACCCACTTTAAGTTTTTCGGGGATTTCAAGCCAGACTCTAATTGCCCAGTGACTTCTGCTAAGTTCTTCGAATGAGTGGAGAGTATGACAAAGATCTTTGCCGGCCTCAACTTTTTCCCAACGTCAGCTAAGCAGTGCTATGCCAGACATTTGTTATAGAATCTCTCACGTAGTCCTCAAGAGCACCATTGCCAGATGATAGCACTCCCATTTTACAGATGATTACAACAAGATTTTGAGAAGCTCTAACTTACCCTAACAGCGCAGTTCGTGGATGGCAGGACAAAGACCCAAACTCAAATACCACGAATACCCAAACATCTAATGGGAACCTGTCTGAACTCAATAAACTTGCAGAATAATTGTTAACTGAGCAAACCTGAGATGGCTTTTTTTTTTCTTTTTAACCTTAAAGACACCATGTTTTTCCTGGGCTCTGAAGACCGCCTGGGTTGTGATATTTATGTGATACAGCTGCAGACTATGCTACAAAGCCAACCAAGCTAGAATTATCATTTTCAAAAGCATCCCACCTGCATGCAAGAAAGAAGTACAGCTGAAAGTGAGCCTTCCTTCTCTATATAAAGAAGTCTCTGGCTCTTGTGAAGAAAGGGGTGGATGTTTGTTGCCAACGATGGCTCCTGGTAGCACCATGTGGCTGTTAGGGTACATCTTTCTCTGTTTCCCTGTATCATTTGCTCTGATCAAGCAACCTAAGCCTGAGACTCCTACTGATCCTGGTGTGCTCCACTGTAGACCATGGAACTTTAAGTTTACTATAAATTTTCAGAACCAGGAGACAGGGTCTTCCCCTGTACTTGTAACCTGGGGTAAGTTGGGCAACATACCTGGCTTAGCTAGCCAATGAAATGTCTCCTCCCCTACCTGCAGTTACTCTTTCGTCTTCTGTCCTATTATATTCCTCCTTTAATGAACTCTACAGCCTCTCTCAGCAGAGCACTCTAAAATAAAAGGCACTTCTGATACTTCCATTTTGTTATCTTATTGGCAGCTGTCCCTTGGCTGGCTGTCCTCTTGCTGCACCAGTGACCATGGAAATTGGAAACTATTTCTGCTTCTCTTCTCCCCACCCCTCTGTCTGCAGACAACCAAGGGCGATTGCACAGGCTGCAGAATGACACTGACTGTGGCACCCGGGTAGGAGAGGGTCCAGGCCCCTCCGTGGTACTGGAAGCAAACTACAGCAGCTGCTACGTCACTGAGTCGGTGAGTAGAATCCAGTTGTCGGGGCCACTGAGACCTCCTTATGCCACCACCCAGACTGATTCCTGGAGTCTGCTTACGCAGGAACCGTACTACGTCATGCTGGTCGGGGTTGAAGAGGTGGACGCAGCTGGACAAAACCTGGTTACAAAGCAGCAGCTGCTTAAGTGTCCGATGCATCTCCCAGGTAAAAGCTGGAAGTACTTAGGTTCTGGGTGGGACATAGTCCTCTAGAAGAGGGCTTAGGGTTTCTCTTAACTGCCCTGGGTGTTAACAAACCCGCACGAAGGATCTTTTCTTCCAACTCGCACCTCCAGAGCCCACCCCGAGGATAACTGCCACTCAGGTGTTTACTGACTGTTGAGGCACTGTGGTTGGGGCTTCGTAAGTTACATCGCCTAAACCTGACCCAGTTCCGTGGGCACTACTGCTGTTCCCAGGCATGCAGCTTGCCCAAGGGCCCATCACTGAAGAGTGGCCAAACTGTGATTCAAACAAAAATTCACCAAGGACCAGGAACTCATTGCTCTCAAAGAGGAAGCAGATGCTAGTAAGATTACCTGGAAAATGCCTGGGAGAAGCCATGTGTGCCCTAAGACTAGGACTCGAGTCTCTTTCCCTCCCAGCTGGTGCCTGGTTGATCACTTAATTGGGCACATAGTACAAAGTCTGTTTCTCTAACTCTATTTCAAATGAATAAATCTTTAAAAGATCAATTTTAGGGGACCGAACATGGTGATGTAATGTTTTACTTAACCTTAACACGGGTATGCTTGTTGAAGCGCTCTGCATGCCTGGGAATTGAACACTAATGCTAACACTGGAGGTGGTGTCAAGCCCAACCTGGAAGTTGCCTACCTTGACTCTCTGCTCTCTACAACCCCAAGCTCCAGATGCTGGACTGTGCGACTCTGTCCCAGTGCAGGACAGGCTGCCCTGTGCTACTGCACCCATCTCACAAGAAGACTGTGAGGAACTAGGTTGCTGCCACAGCTCCGAAGAGGTAAATGCCTGTTACTATGGAAACACAGGTGAGTGAATTACCATGTCTGAAAACAGCTGAGGAAAAGCACTAACTACTTAAAAAGAAACCCAGAAGGAAAGACAGTTTGTTCACAAGGCAGACATTAACTGAATGGAGGTTGACACACAACCAATGCCCCCAAAGCACTTAGGCACTAAATATAATGCCTTCTATAGCCTTCCACCACTCAGTCTCCCAGAACTCATATAAACATTTAGTGAACTCAAAATTAACTGTACAACCCTGTACTTACTACTTGGCAGCAACCTCTTCCCAAGGAAGAGTTATTGGTGACTGATAGTCAGAGATGCTCAGATCCTTACTTTAAGGCTGTGTGCCCCAAATCACGCTCCAAGGTTTAACATAAATCTTAGCCTCATTCAGCATGTAATCAATGCAATCACTATACTCTGCTCTGAATTCTGAGGAGTAAAAGTACTCAAGTGCTACTAAGTCGATTTTGCAAAGTAAGCGAAAATAAGGAGGCTAAATACCTTGCCAAAGATTTCACAGTGAAGAATAGAGGCAAGGCCAAGCCCAGGTGCTATCTAGACCCTTAGTTAAGCTGTGACAGCTGCACTTGCACCAAGGTTATTAGCTGGGAACAACTTAGTCAAAAAATGAAGCTATTAGACTTTGGTCCTGCAGGTTCAGTAGTGGGAAAGATAACGTGTGATCAACGCAGCCACTGTGATGTTTCAGTGACCTCACACTGTACCCAAGAGGGCCACTTCTCCATCGCCGTGTCCCGGAATGTGTCCTCGCCCCCACTGCACTTGGATTCTGTGCACCTGGTCTTCGGGAATGACAGTGAATGCCAGCCTGTGGTAGCAACGCGTGCCTTTGTCCTGTTTCTGTTCCCATTTACTGCCTGTGGTACCACAAGACAGGTAAGATTGGTGGCCTTGGGCTTTGTTTCTGACCTGGGGATTTGAGAATGCTCTGAGTGGTGGGAGAGTCAGACTATCTAGGTCATGAAGGAGGGTATATCGGGGGGAAATTCCCTTTGTTTGAAAGGGAGAGACAGGTCTTCTATCTGCATGTTTACTCCCCAAATGACCACAACAGTGGGGGCTGGACCAGGCTGAAGCCAGGAGCCTGGAACTCGACCTGGGCCTCGCATGTAGGTAGCAGGAGCCATGATTAGCTTTCTCCGGCCATGAGCAGGAAGTTGAATTGGAAAGAGTGGCCAGGACATGAACCAGTGCTTGTGGAATGCCGAAGTCACAAGCAGCAGCTTACCTTGCTGTGCCACTGTGCCAGCCCCAGAAATGCACACTTCTGCTTGTTTAGGGCAGAAGAATGCCCCGTTACTGAGAAAGAATCCTTCTCCCTAGACACGCAGCAAACAGCACTATGGTTCTGATCAAGCTAAGGGGCTGTCGCCTTATGAAATGGAAAAAACAAAACCAAAAAATGGATTGTTCTGACTGCACTGCTCTGGGGAAACTAGCAAGGATACTGAAAGGAATTTCTGATTATATTAGGATTCAAAGTCTCTTCCCATCCTTGGTTGTGGTGAGGAAAAGCAATCCCTTCCTGGGCTATTCACTAACACATGCTAGTGACCCTGTGTTCATGGATCCAGAAATACAACCTACAGAAAAGCAGCATTCAGCAATAATATATACAGCATCTGGCCAGCATGAATAACGGGATTTCTCTTTGCCCCCTCTAACAGATCACTGGAGATAGAGCAATATATGAAAATGAGCTGCTTGCCACTAGGGAAGTGAGAACTTGGAGCCGTGGTTCTATCACCCGTGACAGCATCTTCAGGTAAAATCTGGCTAACCTGATTATGCTTGGCCAGAATGACTTCCCATGCTCCATAAAGCAAAAGTTCTGACCCCACACAAAAATATTGTTCAGGGGTCAATGTTGGGTTCAGCAGGTTAAGCCCTGCCTGACACTGTCAGCCCATGTGAGCACCAGTTCAAGTCCTGAATGCTTCACTTCTGATCGAGATCCCTGCTAAAGCACCTGGAAAAGCGGTAGAAAATGGTCAAAGTGCTAGGGCCCCTGCCACCCATGTGAAGAATTTAGATGGAATTCTAGGCTCCTGACTTTAGCCTGGCCCCACCCTGGCTGTTGAAGCAATTGAGGGTGAATCAACATACGCAAGATTGATGCCTGTGTCTCTCTCCTTCCCACTCTACTTTGTCTGACTCAGCCTTTTGAAATGAATAAAAACTAAATTCCTCAGTGACTTGTAAATTAAGGCTTTGGACAGAGTCCCATATCTTCACTACTGAAGTCTACCTGTATGACTGCTACCAACTGGCTAAGCCTCAAACTTAACTAGACTCATGCTATGCCTGCGAACTGAGATTTGCTTCTCATTTTGTCCTATTCCCTTCTACCCTCATTGTCTATGCTGAAACCCAAACAATATCTTGAACACATTATCACTTAGATAACACTGAAAGATTTGTTTCCTTTCCATAGCTTAAAGTTAACAAAGAGGATGACCCTCAAGGCCCTGCATGAAACAGGCTTATGAGTATCTCCTCTCCAGCCAGCTCTCCTTGAACATTCTCAATCCTTTGTTCATTCAGTACTGCCTAACTTCAAACTAGTCCTTTCATGGAACTTGACAAAGACCTTTCTTACCTCTAAGCATTGTTCTAGGGCAGGTCTTCTCCCTCCTGTATCTCTTGATAGCTAATTCCATAAGCTGCCTGTAAGATCCTTCCTGACCACCCTCTCTGCAGTAGGCATTAGTTTCTCATGGTACTATGTTTGTCAAATGGTTCTAATCTCCAATTCATTCTCTGGTCCTATTTAGATACTAGCCTCTCGAATAAAACACAGCTCCCACAAGGGGAAGAGTGATGTCTACCACACTTAATCTATATAACAATTGGCACTTAATGGCTCCCCCAGTTCTTAAAGATGGTTCCCATAGACCAGAGCTAGCCAGCTAAGATCTTTGTTCTTCTGCAGGCTCCGGGTCAGCTGCAGCTACTCCATAAGCAGCAGTGCTCTCCCAGTTGATATGCATGTGTTGACTCTTCCACCACCACTTCCGGAGACCCAGCCTGGGCCCCTCACTGTGGTACTTCAGATTGCTAAAGGTAAGGCCCTCTGGCTCCATTCTAAATCTTGTCACTCTTCTGGGGCATGAAGACTCCAACTAGACAACAAAACACTCTTTGAGAGAGAGATGGGGATGGCAGACTGATTAGAGTACCATAAAGATTGCTACCTGCTTAATTTACTTCACTCTTTTATTCTGCTTGTTTGCAGATAAAGACTACCACTCTTACTACACCATGGATGACTACCCAGTGGTAAAGTTACTTCGGGATCCCATCTACGTGGATGTTTCCATCCTTTACAGGACAGATCCATACCTAGGTCTACGCCTGCATCAGTGTTGGGCCACACCAAGGACGAACCCCTTGTATCAACCACAGTGGCCCATACTGGTGAAGGGGTAAGTGGCTCTTTGACACATCTACATGCAGTCCCTCCTAGAAGCCCATTCTGACTGCTGGGTCTCTTGGCTTAGATGCCCTTACACTGGAGACAACTATCAAACCCAGCTAATCCCAGTCCAGGAAGCCTTCGATCTGCCATTCCCCTCTCACCACCAGCGCTTCAGCATTTCCACCTTCAGCTTTCTGGATTCCTCAGTGGCAAAGGAGGCTCTAAAAGGACCGGTATGGTATTCCCTTCAATGTCCCTCAGTAGGACTCTGAATGTCATTCACTCAACTGTTTCTTAGTCCTACCAGTCCTCAGCCAAGGTTGTCCCTTAAGGCTGGCTCAAGTGCTGCCTCAACAACACTTGGTCCTAATAGGACTGACATGTGCTGCCCAGGCTCCAGTTCAGGGATATTGTGACATCTGGGGCAATGACAGTTATCTGAACTTTTTCCTTTTCTTGGGGAAATGAAGCAGGTTTGCAAACACAATGGTAATAAAACATAGCCCAAATTCTTTGGATTCACAGATATATCTGCACTGCAGTGTGTCAGTCTGCCAGCCTACTGGGACACAATCCTGTACGGTAACCTGTCCTATTGACAGTCGTAAGTACTGAAGCTCCTTATACTACTGGGGGGCAGACTTAAATCTTGCATCCTACTTCTAAGTTCTATAACTACTAGCCAAATGACTCAAGTCTATCTTTAAGATTTCCTATTACAGCGTAAGTGCTTACAGAAAAGACAAGTAGTGTCTTAGAATCCTAGCTCTTCTAAAACCTAAGCTGTGAATCTTAGGTACCCTTTGAATTGTAGCTTTCCATATAAATGACTAAACCAGGAGCCAAACAAGACTGGACCACACATGTGTCAACTTAACAAAACAGCTGGTTAACTCACAAATAGGTCTGTACCTGCTTGCCAGCTAGTCTGTAGATAGTCAGGACCAATGCATCTACAGCACACTTGTACTTCTACCTGGTCAACGACTGCTTTTCTAACTTAAAAGCTTCATAAGTTTATGAATTTCAGTATTTAAACAGCTTTTAACAAAACCATAATAACAAAGGGTAGTTATTTGGGAAATACTACTTTGTTTTTTTAACTTTTATTTAATGAATATAAATTTCCAAAGTACAGAATATGGATTACAATGGCTTCCCCCCCATGGCGTCACAACCCTTCCCTCTCCCACTCCCTCTCCCCTTCCATTCACATCAAGATTCATTTTCAATTCTCTTTATATACAGAAGATCGGTTTAGCATACATTAAGTAAAGATTTCAACAGTTTGCTCCCACACAGAAACAAAGTGAAAACTACTGTTTGAGTACTAGTTAAAGCATTAAATCTCAATGTACAACACACTAAGGACAAAGATCCTACATGAGGAGTAAGTGCACAGTGACTCCTGTTGTTGACTTAACAAATTGACACTCTTGTTTATGGCATCAGTAATCACCCTAGGCTCTTGTCATGAGCTGCCAAGGCTATGGAAGCCCCCTGAGTTCACTGACTCTGATCATATTTAGACAAGGCCATGGTCAAAGTGGAAGGAAATACTACTTTGTAAACTTACACATCATTTGAATTGGATATTATCCCTACTTAAACTAAGCCACCTGAGTTTGACTGGAAAAAAGCATAGATGTAGGTTAAAACCACTTCCTATTTTAATAGTTACCTTCCATGTGACAAAGATCTCAGGATTGAGAAACCACACACTTTCATGCTTTATATAAGAGGCATTTCCATAGAAAGGAATGTCCAATTTGGACAATGTATGTCCAAATCCTCATAAAACTGAGGCAATTGTTTTAAATCTCATATCAGTTTGCATTAACAGGGCTCTCATAAAGCATGGAATGGAACTTGAGTCTAGAGACTTGGCTTTGGACTATAATATCTCCACTGCATGCATGCAAAAATAACTAGTTCTTGTTTCTCCAACAGGAAGAAGAAACTCGGACATCAATTTCCAGAACAGTACTGCTAACATTTCTAGCAAGGGACCCATGATTCTACTTCAAGCCACAGAGGATCCCTCAGAAAAGCTCCATAAACACTCAGGTCTCCTCCCATTCATTTAACTTAGCTCTAGACTGAAGGGTGGTTTAGGTAGTTACTTTATTTGCCCTACTCCCTATCCCTACTAATGGCGGCCTTAAAAGAAACTGGCTAGCATCAAGATGTCCAGTGTTAGGACAAAATCCTTTGGTTTTATACACTAACCCATCTTTCCACTCCAGGTGTTCCTGTGCATCCTGGAGCTCTATGGGTGGCAGGCCTTTCTGGGATCTTCATCATTGGAGCCTTGCTTGTATCCTATGTGGCAATCAGGACACGAAGATGAGTTCCTTGGGCCAAATATATCAATAAAACCAGAGTGCACCACCAGCATGTGTTTGTCATTTGTTAAGGTAAAGAGCTTAAGGTTCTAACTAAGTCATGATTCGGCTGCTCTTGGCAGTTCATGTTGCCAACTTGATGCGGTGCTATGCCTGTATAAGTACAAGACTAAACATGAAATCTCAACCAAGTAAGATAAAGTCAATAAAAGGGGGGGAGGGTTACAGAACAAAATTCTTACATGTCGAGTAAAAGAAGGCAGAACTAGTACATGACTAATCATCAATCTCCTAGACCACTAGTGTTCAACTTTATAGTACATCAGGAGCACAAGAAGGTAGTAAAACTACTTAGACCCCTCCCAGACACTGATACCGTATATCAGGGCTGAGGTTTAAATCCAGATTTTTTGAAGTCTAAGACTAGGCTGATCTTGAGACATTGAAAATCAATGTCTATAAAGTATCTAATTATGGGCCGGCACCGTGACTCACTAGGCTAATCCTCTGCCTGCGGCGCCAGCACCCCGGGTTCTAGTCCTGGTCAGAGCACCGGATTCTGTCCTGGTTGTTCCTCTTCCAGTCCAGCTCTCTGCTGTGGCCTGGGAGGGCAGTGGAGGATGGCCCAGGTCCTTGGGCCCTGTACCCACATGGGAGAGCAGGAGGAAGCACCTGGCTCCTGGTTTCAGATCAGTGTGGTGCGCTGGCTGCAGCAGCCACTAGGGGGTGAACCAACGGAAAAGGAGGACCTTCCTCTCTCACTGTCCACTGTCAAAAAAATTATGAATTAGTCAACTAAAAGTAACCTCATCAGAAGCAGCTAAGTTTTCAGCTGAAAATTATAGGCTTCCTAGTTCAAGATGGGGAAGGAAAAATGATGAGGGGGAGGGTATATGATTTTTCTCAAGGTAAATATCCAACTCAAGGAACTCTAGTAGCTGGTGCTATATTCCCTACTCCACCAAAGACTGGCAACTAACCCTGATTATATAAGGCTTCTCTACTTGTCTTTACAGAGTTACTTCTAGGTTACTTGACATTTTGGCAAGGTAAGTTTTGTTCTTGGTCTTTGAACAGCTGCTTTGTAGACGAGCCAACCTGGCTTCAAACTGCTCAAGGCACAGGATGAATATTGCTGTTATTCAACTTATCAACTTATTACATTCTCTGTGATTGTAGCTATTCCAGATGCTTTGGTATTAGCTCAGCCTCATGACAATTTAATAATGGTAGACATTTGTTGTAAATCTGGGCTAGATACCTTACCTAGTGTCACCTGTCACACTTCAGCTATACTTCTATCCTTTAACTTTAGAGAATTTTCTTAATATTCTGAAAGAGCTCTTTCCCTACTGCTTTACTTCACAAACAGTGGCAACAGCCGGGGCTGGACCAGGTAGAAGCCAGGAGCTTCTTCCAGATCTCCTACTTTGGCTGTCATCGTCTTTTCTTCCCATGTCATTAGCAGGGAGCTAGACAGGAAGTAGAGCAGCCAGGACATGAACTGGTACCCATGAGATGACAACATCATAGGAGGTAGCTTGACCTGCTATGCTGCAATGATGGTACCTATAACGCATATTCCATAATAACTTGGCTCTACAGAGGAAACCAGATGCCCAGTGGAGGAGACAGACTCAACTTGAACGAAGGTTATCCTTGACTTGGCTGCCTGATTCTTGGAGAGACAGGGTTAAGCAAAGATGCAAAAGTCTAACTGCTTCATTGTGTGCTGAGAACTATTTAAGGGAAGAACAGTCATCTTCCATAGCAGTAGTAGCAGCAGTTTGTAACCAAGTTTAAGAACCAAGTAACCAAGTTTGATAAATTTTAATTCATTTACTTGTGGTTATAACTGAAATGTTTCAATATAACATGTTCATATACTTAATACCAGACAACCAGTATAACATGCAAATGAAGACTTGTGGTCAGTATTCACACTAAATATTAATCTTAAATCACTGGGAAAACTCGGGAGCCCAGCTGATTTCAAATAAATGAATAGTATATCCCTTTTAAGTCATATTAAACTAATTCTTACCATGTTCTAAGTGCTCTCTGGCAACATCTGGCTACAACCTTTTACAGCATGACTCAAGTTCACCACCTCATGTATGTCGGATGTACAGTGTGACAGGCATTGTTCTATGCATTGGGTGCAATGCACTAAACTGGGAAAAATGTCCCAATAACTAAATCAAATGTCAGTTGGTAAATAAAGCAAAATATAGTTAAGTTGGTTAGTAAAGAATTGAAGTATTATCATTCTTCTGAGAAATATACAGCCCTGACTTAGCTTACTGTCCATTTGTTACCAAACAAAGCAAGTATGTAGGGTCCTCTAAACGAAATTGTTTTTGATAAACCAGGGTTTTTGAGAGGAAGGCTAGTCTATCATAGCATCTAGTGTGTAGAGTATCTGGGTCAACTTGTTCCTTTTTGGGGTGTTTGCAAGTGAATACTAGATATTTTCTGGATTTAATCAGGAAGAAAGCAGTTCTAGTGCTTAAGGCTACTCCAATTATTGCATGAACATCCAAAGAGCTAAAACCACCTCCCATACACTTTCTTAAATAACTGAAAGGAGCTTCATTAGTGCAGTAGGTAGCATGTCAGTCTCATAAGAATGAAAACTCTCGAAGTTATTGGAGTAGGATCCTATGAAACATCCATACCTATAGTGTTCCTGGTTTCCTAACCATAGTCTTTATTCAAGCTTAGTCTGATCCACAGACAAAGAAATGTTATTCTGAGGAGAAAACTGTTAAAATACCTATGCATTGACTAGGATCTGGCCAATAATACCCAGAATAAAGTTGAATCACTGCTCTAAGAGGAAATATCAGTTGGGACTATTAACTTGAATAATTTAGTAGTATATAGTTTCTTAAATTTGTAACTTATTCTCTGGAGTTCCCATTCTTTAACTTTATTTTTGGTGTTTGTCCAATTTTCAATATCTTCTCTCCAGTAATTCCTTACAAAACATATTGCCACTACAAGTTATTCTCTAACAATAGTGAAAGACATTTGTAGTTGGCAAATCTCTTCCATTTGACTAAAGAATATTAGAGGCAAACCAGATGACTATATTTTTATACCTTGGGTAAAGCATTTATGTGGCAATATAGTCTTATTTCGAATGCCTCAGATGTCACTGCATAATCTTCCCTTCATAATCTTCCCTTCATTTCACCTTTGTAAGGGAGCTCTCATTATCCTATGTCCCTTGTAGACAAGCAGCTGTAGTTGGAGACAAGCCAGAAGAAAAGCTAAACTAGACTTAGATCTTGTCTATGCTCATCTACCCTGTTTTATCTTAGTTTCAGATACTAGGAAAGTTATAGGTTCTTCACTGTACCCCGTCATCCTCTATTAATAAGCTTAGAAGGGTGCTACTCAATTCTAATTCACTATAAAATCAAACTACTGATGGCATGGGAAATTATCTGTAAACTCTACATCTCATATGGGATTAATATCTAAAACACAAGGAACCAAATAGCAAGAAAACAATCTTTTCAAAATGGGCAAAAGGACCTGGAGGGATGTTTCTCAAGATATACAGATAACAGATTTATGGACAAAACAGTCACCACTACTTATTAGGAAAATAATACTTTATGAGATGTTATTTGTGTCTAAGACATTTTAAAAAACATGAAGGAAAATTAATGTTCTCACACTTCAGGTAGGGATGAAAATTAATCTAGCCACTATAGTAAACTATATGAAAGTTCTTTAAGAACTGTATGATTCAGTTATCCCATTAATCCCATTACTGGGGATTTATCTAAATGAAAAATCAGATTTTCTGCCCATGGTCTTAGCTGTATTATTCACAATAGTCAAGATATGGAATCAACCAAGGAGTCCATGAATAGATGAATAAAATGTGGAGCATACACAACTGAATGATTAACCCTTTTTCCAACACGCCTCCACTATTTTGCATTCCAAAAACAAAAGGGAATCCTGTCATTTGCAACGTTGTTGAACCTGAAAGACTTCTTGTTATGAGCAGAAAGAAACCTGGGAAAAAAAATTGAATTTAAAGCATCAGATTAGAATAGAGGTAGCTAGGCAGTTGGGAGTGGAAAGATATTTGTGAAAAAGTACAAAACTTTAGTTAGGAGGAATGTCACGTCTAGTTATCTTCCGTCCTTGCTGACATGAAAGACTGTAGATATTGCCATGTGGCAATCATGTAGTATCTAAGCAGGTACCTAAAGATGGTCAAATCAAGGGAAGTTTCACATTTCAAGCAAAGTAGTTAAGTCAAGAACTGTCTGTAAAAAGATGTATAGTGGTGGGGCTGGAGTTGTGGCACAGCAGGTTAAACCACCACCTGCAATGCCAGCATCCCATACGAGCACTGGTTCAAGTCCTGGCTGCTCTACTTCAGATAAAGATCTCTGCTAATGCGCCTGGGAAAGCAGCAGCAGAAGTACTTGGGACCCTTCCACCCAAGCAAGAGACCTGGATGGCGTTCCAGGCTCCCAGCTTCAGCCTTACCCAAACCTGGCTATTGCGGCCATTTGGAAAGTGAGTCAGCAGATGGAGATCCCTCATGTTCAACATCTCTCCTTCTCTCGCTAGCTCTGCCTTTCAAAAAAAAATCTTTAAAAAAAAATAGAGTGGGAAAACAAGGAATAATTCGCAAAGGTATTAGATAAAGTGGGCCAGGAGTTAAATTATAATAGTTACGACTTCATGTTAACCAAGTACTCTTATATGTCTGATCAATTAATTTATCCCATTAGTATGTAAGTACAGTCCTCTCTGAATATGGAATTTTATATATGGCAAAAATACCTAGAATATTACTTTTCAAAGTCAGCAGGGAAGGCTGATTGGGAGAGACATTATTCAAGACACAAACTTTCAGTAAGGGGACAAATTCATGAGATCAACAATATATAGCAGAGTGACTGCAGTTATGTATCAAAAACTTGAATATCTGCTAAGAAAATACATGTTAAATGATCTCAACCCCTCTCCCCAACACACACAAAAATGATAAGCATTTGAGGTAATTCATGTGCT